AATTTTTGAGCTAGGATGCTCTTCTTCAAACTTGATCTGTCTTTTTATGACACAAAACGACCCTGAAAATCCCAGGTCGCGTAACAGGCTTCGCGATACCTCGCGAAACACTGTTACGCTGCGACGCGCCTGGCATACGTCTACCTTGGCCTGCGGCGCTGACACCCGAGTCTGGTAGTGCAAGAATGTGCACAAAGATACGGGCCTCCGGCCCGTCAACGCCAGTCACTTCGACTAATCATGCAGGGTTATACATTTTATCGCTTATTTTCGTCAAAAACACCCTCTAGCGCCTCAACGGTTTGAGCTAGAGCAAAACGGACAAAATTTTCGCCCGTTGGGCTCTACTTTGATGAGTTACCCCTTAGGAAACCATAAAAAATATTTTTTCAAAACGTCATTTTTGGGACCTGTTGTTTTTGATTTTTTAAAAATCCAATTTTTGAGCTAGAATGCTCATCTTCGAACTCAATCTGTCTTTGTATGATACAAAACGACCCTGAAAATCCCAGGTCGCTCGCTCAATTCGTTTTCGAGTTTTCGTGCGGACAGATACACAGACATAGACACACAGACAGAAATACTTTTTTTACGACCAGACCGAGTAATAGGCTTCGCTAATCGCTCAGCCAAAAAGACAGATCAAGTTCGAGCATTCTAGCTCAAAAATTGGATTTAAAAAAAATCAAAAACCACAGGTCCTACAAATAATTTTTTTTTAATATTTTTTTTACAGTTACCTAAGGGGTAACCCATCAAAATAGAGTCCTTTGAACGAAAATTTCGTCCGTTTGGCTCTATCTTTAACCATGTAGGGGCCACAAGGAATTTTTGATGAAAACAAGCGAAAAATGTACAACCTTGCATGCTTAGTCGAAGTGACGGGAAGTTGACGGGCCGGATCCCGTATCTTTGTGTACAGTTTCTCGCTACCCGACCCGGGTGTCAGCGCCGCAGGCCTAGGTAGATGTATGCCAGGCGCGTCGCAGCGCAACAGTGTTTCGTGAGACGTGGTCTGGCGAACATCTACCTAGTAAAAAGGCAGATCGAGTTCGAAGAACAGCATTCTAGCTCAAAAATTTGATAAAAAAAACAACAAAAATACACAGGTCCCACTAATGTTTTTTTAAAAATATTTTTTCATACATTTTTCTAAGGGGTTACTCATTGGCTGAGCGATTAGCGAAGCCTATTACTCCATTGATGATCAAAAAGTTTTGCGTCTGTTTGTCTGTCTGTCTATCTGTTTGTCTGTCTGTGTCATCACGATAACTGGAGAACGAATTGAGCTAACGACCTGGGATTTTCAGGGTCGATTTGTATCACAATAAGACAGATCGAGTTCGAAGAAGAGCATTTTAGCTCGAAAATTGGATTTTAAAAAAAATCAACAACCACAGGTCCCTAAAATGACGTTTTTTAAAAATATTTTTTTATCGTTCCCTACGGGGTAACTCTTCAAAGTAGAGGACTCTGGGCGAAAATTTCGTCCATTTCGCTCTATCTTCAACCGTTTAGGCACCAGAGGGAGTTTTCTTGACGAAAATGACCGCAAAACATTTCTGTGTTTTTTCTCAGATATTTGGTGGTCTCCGGTACGGTAACTCGTTAAAATAAAACCCCGAGGAAGAAAATTTGTGACTTTTAAATGCCTACTAACGACTTTGGCCCGACTCGGGTGTCAGCGCCGCAGGCCTAGGTAGATGTATGCCAGGCGCGTCGCAGCGTAACAGCGTTTCGTGAGATATCGCGAAGCCTGTTACGCGAGACGTGGTCTGGCGTACATCTACCTAGTTAAAATAGAGCGCCATGGGCCGAAAATTTCCTCTGTTTGGCTCTATCTTCAATCATTTAGGCGCCACAGGGAGTTTTTGTCGGAAACAAGCGAAAAAATGTACAACTCTGCACGCTGCACGCGTACGAACGGGGTTGCCTACTCGTACGGGGCCCACTCCGCCTCCGTCCACATCGGCGTCACTACCACCTGAGATTCGGCCGCAGACACCCTGATCCAGGTCCGAGTCACCCAGCGCCAAGCTACGGAACAAATCCACCTCAACCCAGCCTTGACTGACCTTCGTCTTGTGCAGAGAAGTTAAAATATATCATGCACTTTGCAAATGCTAATTATTTTTACTGTCTCCCTCCCTCTCCCCCTCTCACACCCACATGGTGACTCGGCATCACAAAACACAGACAATAACTGATTGGGAGCGCGGCTGTTATTTTCATTCATCACAAGAAATTGGGCTTTGGCGTCGGACTTGGTACTATGTCTACCGAAATATTTAAAAGTTTGTAAAAGGGAAGTAATGGTGAGAAAATGGCAGGTGGAGGTAGCGGAAAGAAAGTCAGCGAAGCACTTGCTTTGCAACCTACAAAGAAAACTAAAGCATCGTAACCTACGAACCATCATTGCTTTGAAACTACGAAGCAGTGCTTTGTCACTACAAAGAAAGTTCGCCTTGTATTAATGCTTTCAATTTCTTCGTAATAAGAAGCAGTGCTCTGTGGACGTTTGCTTGTAAGGTCAGGGCATTGGAACAGATTCCTGCTGGTCGTCTGAATGAGTTACTTTTTTGCGTGTCTTGTCACTTGTCAAGCGTCCTGCTCGTGTCCGTGATGCTAGCGCGAACAGCAAACTTAAGTGAGCAGTGGCCATTCACCATTCATATAATGTCT